GGGAGCAGCTTGCGGGGCCGCAGGCGGGAGCAGAACAGGGCTGGGGGAAGCCAGAGTTATGTGAAACGTGCCACGATTCTCTGTTGAATACGGTTTAACCGGGAAAAGAGGAGCGGGCGGCGGGGGGGGGGAGCCTGTCCAGCCTCCCGTCGGCTTTCAAGCAGCAGCCTCTGCAACGCGTCCCGGTCGTGCACTTCATTGGCCGTGTTTCTCGGGAGACTTGTCCTCCGGCTTGAGCCTTCCTCGGGCATGAAAACGCCGAGAGCAACGTCATTTTCCCCCTACGGCAACTTCCGTTTTTGCCCTCGGGGACGAGGCCGGGCAGGTCACGCGCGGGGCGCCGAGCCTCTTGCCTTGAATTTGAGACCCTCGAAGACCTGCTGTGTCACCGGGTTATAAAGGAAGTCTGTCACAGCTTTCAATCCTTGTCCCTTTGCCCGCCGCAGATAATGCAGGACACCGTTAGACTCTTTACCGCTAACCCTCGGCTACAGTGACCTCGTATCTGCACCGACCCCTTGGACGGGGACGAAGCTTTCAGCTCGCCGAGGGAGGAGGAGGAGGAGGAGGAGGAGGAATTACTGCGGTATGGGCGGCCGGGCTCGGCGCGGCGCTGTGGGATTTGTTGGTTTAGTGAAGGCTCGTAGGAAAGGTCAACCCCCCGCGATGAAATCCCTGCTGAAACCCTCGCTGCCTACGGATGTTACCGCAGGCGGCGTCGAATCCGTGGCGCAATTACCCGGGGTCTGAAACGGAAACTTGTTACGTGACTTCCTCGAGCTCAAAAAGCGGGGTGGTTTTTTTGTTTGTTTGTTTGTTTGTTTGCTTGTTTGTTTTTTAGGGAAAGTAAATATGACTTTTAGAGCACAAACTGGTTGGACAGCTCCGGCTACTCCTGCCTCTTGTAGCGCTCGGCTCCCTGCGGCCGCCCTCTGCGTTGTCCCTTCCCCACGAGCAACGCCGGTCCTAATAAGCAGGAGGAAAAAAAGGTTGGTTTTGCTATTAAAAAAAAACCAAAAAAACCCTGCTTGAGCTAGTTTCCCTGATCCCCCGAGCGTCCCGCTGAAGTTAAGGAGCTGCGCACGTCGGTGCCCGAGGGATGCCCAGGTACCGCGCCAGCGGCCGCTACGGCATCGCGCTCGGCCCA